CCTGCTGAATTCAAGCACAGGCTTTCACTCACATACGTCCACAGTATATCCTCCCCATCAGTTAAGGTGCTTTGAGGGATACACATATTAGACAGAATCATGTCTGAGTTAGTATTTTCTTCAGTCTTTTAATTCCAATGTGCCAGACTAATTAGGTATTGGTTCTTCACTAATGGCCTCTCCAGTCTGATGTAATGCACCAGTTATACATTACGTAGTTTGTGCAAGGCTGAGAAAAAAATGTACATGAGTGAACATGAGCATAAGATAAAAAGGAAAGAAATTTGTCTCTTTATTGAGTTTGAATAGGCATATGACGACATGGGCAAAATATCAAAATATTTGAATTTATTCTAACATGGAGAGTGATTCTCTATGACTGATCTGATTTTTACGTCCTCATAGTTGGACCTTTGCAGGTCCCTGTGCACTTATCTAACCAGTATAAGTCATCTGCTGGTCTGATGATGTAGGATTTTCAGGGAGCGCAGCACAATCAGTAGTCATTAGGAGTGCGTGTGTGACCGTACCATGAAGTCGATGTTATTGTCCTCGTTCTTGAAATACTCCATTAGCTTCTCAAACCGCTGTGTCTCCATACATACCTGTGAAACAAACCACATCGCTGAACTGACTGAAGTCAAGGTGTAGACAGAAAAAAAAAACCCATTTAATGCAAACAATCAATTACTGATTTGCCAGCTACTTACAATTCATAATGATTAAGTCGATGTGATTTAAGCTTTAATTTCTGTGCCACCTGTACACAGCTGCAATAATACAACTGCTCCTGTCCTACTACCACTAGAATTAAAACAAGCATAAATGAGCAAAAGTGTGAGCTTGATCGTGCTTGTTTTAAAATGTACATCAGCATTACTGGGTGAAGATAAAACGTCAATGACATTAGCTGCTAAATACATCACTGCAGATGGAGCATGATAAGGCAGTGAGAAGGAGGAAGAAAGAGAATGGGTGCGTTTCTAAAAACCTCTGATCAATGCCTCCAGCCAGTTTATGATACAAGATATCAAAGTCACTCATAATATGAAATTTCAAAGTGTCACTTGGCAAAAAAAACCCTAAAAATATGAAGCTGTCCTTCTTCCAGCAGCATACCACTATCATGACCATTTCTTAGCCTTCATCTCATTAGACAAGCTACATTCTTCCTAAGTCTTATTCTCCCACTGATGCCAATACCACTGAGAGCAACGCTTAATATTTCATTCAGGAGTGTAAATATTGCAAAAACTGCAGTTGGCCCAAGTCTATGGGCTATGTGCTACAAAGTTGGGCTGCTATTAGATTGAAAACTC